TTTTATTTAATAAAAATCGAGATCTAAAAAAAAAATCTCTCTACATCTCCTCTTTCTTCAAAGGTTGAAGACAAGAAAACTAAACTATTTACAAGTCCAAATCGGTTCTTGTTTTCGCTGATGACGCTAACTAAAATACACCTAGCGGAATTCTAAACCATAATACCGATGTTACATCAAAACTACCACCAGTTTATGTCATAAATGTGAGTAATGTCTCTGTTTTCGTCTCAAATTTTATATCTGTAATGAACATTACAGATTTCGTCTGTAAATTAACACTCTTATATGTTCTCATTCGCACACATTTCCGTGAGCTTTATAATTTATTTTTAACTCATTTATTGAAAATGGTCGTCAGTTTTCATACCTATCATCCAAATTTTGTTCACTCGTTACCGGTTGTTATTCAAAATCTCCACCCAACCACATCACATGAGGACATAATTTCTAGCCTCTCAAATTTGAGATACCATGTCACCAATGTATATAACATTAAACGAATTTTAGACAATTTGCCTTTGCCACTTTTTTTTTCGAAATTAATAAAGGAAACAACTTGAACATATACAAGGTTGAATTTCTCATAAATGATAAAACTGTAATTAAAAACCCACATCCGTCCAGAGACCCACTACCAAGGTTACCTTAACCATTAATTTTTGGTTCTGTTCCATAATTTGTTTTTGAACTTTATTTGTGATAAACATTAAATCAAGCTATGTTCAACAACGGTTTTAGATTGTAGCGTTATAATTTAAATGGTTCACTGAACATTTTACTAAAAAAATGTTAAAATTGTTTATGTTTTTTGAAATTTTCACCAAAAACGTAAAAAAAAATTAAATTTCTTGAATGATAGACCTAATAAACGTTGTTAAGTTATTCTTTCTTGTGAATTTAATTAGAAGAACGTTTTAAAATATTACGTTCTTGAACATTAAATCAAAAGAACTTATCGAAATAATACGTTATTTTAGATTTAACTAGAAGAAATAATACATTTGAAGTAATACATTCTTGAACATTTAATCAGAAGAACGTTTTACAGTCATATGTTCTTGAATGCTTTAAATTTACACGTTCTTGAATAACGTGTCTTTTCTTGAACGTACTGAAAATGAATACAATTTTGAAGATGACCAAGTTCACATAGACGAAGAAAACAGTAATAATGTTTCTGAATGTTCTGATGAAGATAATAATAAAATAAATCAATAATAAAATGAAAATAATCAAGAGATATTGTCTTCAAACTTCAACAATTTGGGTGCAGCAGTCAATACATCGGAGATATTGAGGAGTGTGCGATATGCTGCTCATACTTTACAACTATCGATTCTAGATGTATTTAAAATAGAAAGTATATTAACTATAAACAAATCATGGAGATTGGTGAAGATGTTGAGATTACCAACAAATTTGAAAGCTCTCAAGAATATGGATATACTACTATATTATTACTCGTAATAACTTATTACTTATATTATCATCATAATATTATATCATCTTATATTGTCAAAAATAAAAAATCAGCTATTAGATTTATTTTGGCTGAAGCTTCTTTAGTTCTTTCAAAGTAACATTATGCTGTTGGGGTATATTTTTAATCCTTATCTTATTTATTAGTAAAGATAGGACTAGATGTAATTCAAGTTTTAGATTTTGATATTAAAGTACTAATTATTTTTAAATAATTTTAAATTCAAAATAGTCAAAAGATAATTTTGATTTATAACGTTATTTTCACAGTTCGAAGAACGGTTTAGTTTGTGTTGTTCTATGTGTTAAAAGTTTGAAGAATGTGTTAGCTTATTACGTTCTTTGTTCGTTGTTCAAAGAACTTAATAAATTTTAACGTTTTTCTGGTAATTGTTAAAAGAACTTAATAAATTATAAGGTTTTTCTAGTAATTGTTCAAAGAACTTAATAGGTTATGACGCTTTTCATGTTAATTTTTTAAAGAGCTTTTAAGATTATAACGTTTTTCGTGAAAAAAGTTAGTAAACTTAATAGTTTATATTATTATTTCATATGAAGGACCAATAAACTTAATTAAATAATTGGTTTTGTTACATTATATTTTGGTTTATAAACAACAATAATGTTCTTTAATCATTTTTTTACGTTCCGTTCGGAAACACTGCCCACCACAGTGCCGTATATATCAGTCCTACGGTCTTACCTGAAGATACTGTCACTACGATCCACGTAGTATTAGAAGAAGACCACACCTCAGATTCCTGTACCAAACCGCGTGACTCTCCTACCTGATGTGGTCTATGTGATGGTAACCACCCTTCTAATTATAAAGCTTGTCAAGAATATAAAATCTGTTTCATCCGTACAATTAGGCAAGATCCTTTCGTTCCTACTAATTCAACCAAAAATAATTCCTTTAAGCCTATTTTTAATGTCACCTCCACCAATCCATCTTATACTCATGTAACCTCCTCTCGTCAAAATCATACTCAGTTTTTTCTAATGTTGAAACATTATTAACTTCCTTCATCTCCAAATTTAAAAATATTATAAAGCCTTTTCTTCCCCATTTTACAGCATTACTAGATAAAACCCAATTATAAATATATCTTTGAACCATAATTACGTTTATTATATATATAATTAATTATGATTTAATGTTATAAATTAAAAAATAAATAAATATTTTAGCATAGTGTTACTAATGAGTGACTTATTTTAAAATAAATCTAAAATTATAAAAATATTTTATTACGAATACTTATTGTGTTTTTTTTTTTTTTTACAAATTTTATTTTTTCAAGAAAAATACGTAAAAGTATAACGTACATAACATACTAATAAAAACTATATACAGGAAAAACTATTTTAGAAGCTTTAAAAATGTACGAAAATGATCTTTAATCGACTGCAGTTGTTAGCCTGAAGTATTTATATGGCAAAATCAATGGAAAAACGATAGATAAAATAACACAATGAATAAAACTCAAACTACTATTGAGATTTAACGTTACTGTACAGATATTGTGCTTGTATGAGTTTAATACTACAAATATTTACAACTCTTACATTTAAAATTTCCCAAATGAACTCACCGAAAAACCGTTATTTCGAAGTTTTTTTCATTATTACTAGGAAACTGTATTTTTACAAAATTAATATTTTATTTGTTCTAATTTTTGAATCAAAATCAAGGAAACATGAACATTTAAACACATATTTCTTAATATGAAATATTTTTGAAAAAATAATTAACGTATTCACTTAAAATTCACAAAATTATCATGAGTCCTATTTGCGGACAAGAAACAAAAATGTTAACAAAATGCAATTCCTACATCCATTCATAAGAATTTTTATATTAGGTATTACTATAATTTATCATGAGTCATATTAAACATTGTCATTATTACATTTGAACCGCAATATAATACTTATTATAAGCATGTAATTACATTATCTAATACTATGTAGCACAATACAAATATATAGTTCATTTTCTGATTGGAAATGTAAATAGATTCAATACAAATAATTATAGTAATTTATAAACCTGTTTTTAATACTAAATAGTTTCTCTGAATTTAAGTGTATTAGAGATCAATGGTTAGATTTGCTAACCTAACCTAATTATAATTAGAGTTAAAGGTGCGCTTGTCTACAACATTAGTGATATTTGAAATGCGAGTACGATAATATATTTATTAATTCACATTATAAGTGTAGCTACAAAGTAATTAAATTTCACCCCGAACTCAGTTTTTTCTATTCGATTGATGTATATGTATAATATGTCATTGTACTACAGTGATGAAAAATTATAGTGAATAAATAACCGATAGTAGAATATATATTATGTACACAACATACTGGATATCAATTAGGTTTACGTTGTAACGGTTCTCTATAGAAATGTTTGTGTGGAAATGTAACATAGAAATGCGTATAAACAAAACAATAACATGTACTTGTATGGTAAAAATGACAGTTATTTGCAGTCTAAAGCGAAAGTTTTCAATCTCAACTTGCAATTCTTGGTGTGTTCTATGTCGTTTATTATCATTAATTTTCTATTAAGCTATTTTAACGGCTGAGTTGCAAAGTTCTTGAAAATGTGTTTTTTAATCGTAAGGTGAAAGATGTATGAATAAAAAAAAAATTTAACATCACAAACACATCAATACGAAATAATGTATATGGAAATGTATGAATGGTAAGTACATATATATAATTTTATGGTATACTTACTTATGTGTGCGTGTGTGTGTGAGAGAGAGAGTGAGAGAGAAAGAAAGAGAGGAAATAAATAAATATTAATAATATACATATATATATATATATATATATATATTAATATGTAACGTACGTTCGAATACAATACAACGAGCAGTAGTAGTAATATATTATTGTGGGCGCGGCACTCGGTTGCGGGAGGACCTATTGTTCGCGATGTGTGCCGGCCCAGTGCTCAGCCGCGTCTGTGCAGTGTTAACGGACAACCTCAACGAAACTCACTTCGGGCTAGTCGTGGCCGCCCGGGAGTAGGGACGGGAGAAAAGCAAAAAAATAAAAAAAGAGGAAAAAAAGGGAAGGAAATGTGTGGCAAACGCGCGGCGTGTGCTCCTCCTCCGCGGATCGACGGTGTTTCAGTATCCCTACTAGAAAGACGGACGCACGGACGGAATGTGAGAGAGAGCGCGCGCTCGCGAGAGATGCATGAGCGAGTGAGAGAGAATAAGATCGAGAAAGAGAGGGATGGAGAGAGAGAAAGAGAGGGAGTGATCGAGTGAGACGGGGAGTGAGAGAAGTGAGAGAGTGCGAGTGAGGGACGGTACGATGGCGGTGACGAAGACGACAACAAAATATCTAGAGGAAAAAAATTAAAAAAAAGGAAGAAAATAATATAACTAGGCACGCGCGCGCCCGCACGCACACGCGCACGCATGCACGCGTATCCCTACTATGGGCTTTCGACACCCCGATATATTATAAAAGACCAAAAGAAGTAGTCTCCCACGATTATTTTCAAAAGTGATCCCAACTCTTCGACGCCGCGGACTACGCACGGCTCGTACACGTCTCTTGCGTAAACGCACACTGCAGAGCGTTTAATATATAACATATAATATAACGATATTCAAATAAACGTACCGTTTGTACATAATATACATTATTATATTATATTATATTCGTCTCGTCGGGTGTGCGCGCGTCTATCCGTCAGAAACGCCGCGAAAATTTAGTGATAATCACTGTTACGGTTTTTTTTTTTTATTTTTTCTCTCTATCTATTATTATTATTTATTTTTTTGCTTGTTCCTCGTTCGCGGTACATACCTGCCTACCAATATAACTTTCTATCTTTCGTATTTCTAACTATTTTTTTCGCTTCTCTCGCCGCTTCTGCCCCCTTTACCTTCCCCCTGTCCTCCACGTTCTATAATATTCTACTCGACGACATGGCTGAGACCATGTCTGTTGAATATAACGGATACAGTCGCGAACTGTGGCTGAACGTGGTGGCCACCACGTTGGGCTTGACCTACTCGGCGTATCGACAACTCCGTGCCGCACAAAAGCTGCCGCCCGGGCCGTGGGGCGTACCGTTCTTGGGATACGCGCCGTTCCTGTCCAACCATTGCACGTACTTAAAATACAACGAACTGGCCCGTAGGTACGGGCCCATATGCTCGTTCACGCAACGCGGCAACACCGTGATATTGCTCAGCGACCACAAGCTAATTAAGACCGCGTTCGACATGAAACAGATCACTGGCCGACCCAACGACGGTTACATGGATATAATTGGCGGATATGGTGAGTTTGATTTTTATTTTTTTTTTACAATACATTACAATTAATAGTTTTTAAATTAATGATTACGATGTGCATAATATAACATTATGTATAGCGTTACAGCTAATAAATTAACATACTGATTTTTAAACACCTGTATTTATATATATGTAAATATATATATTTACACGTATATTTTAGAACATAAATAAATATTTTAAATGCGAATGCAGTGAGTTTGAAAAGTGTTTTATTTAAATAAATACGTGTCCTCGAGATATCTCGTGAATATTGAATATATTTTGAAACTATGTCGCAATTTTTTTTTGACATACTATACGCCGGCTCAATATTAATTATTAAATAATCACGTGGCCCACGACTGTACAGCGTTACACAACGCGTCGCGGACACGCGAATAATGGCTAGAACAAAAAATAAAACATAAAAACATTAATAAAAAAAAATAATAATAATAATACAGTGTCATTTCCATACCGACCAGACTCGTTATTTGAAACATTACTATATTTTTTTACAGGAGCGGTGAATAGTACTGGGAAGTTATGGGAGTCCCAAAGGAAGTTCTTACATTTAGTACTTAGACACATGGGGATGACATTCACGGGCCACAACAGGTTAAACATGGAAAGCAGAATAATGGTGAGTAAATTTACCAAACTAATTATTTATCAGCTTTGTTAAAAAATGATTATTTCGTATATATCCAATCATTGCGATTTTTCATTAATCTGCCCTTGATCGGTAATTTCATGTATATGTGCAATCTCCTCTCTCGCGTACTGATTGAATTCCTTTTATAATAAATGAAAAAATATATGTATAAAAATAAATAAAATATTACAATTTTCTAATTCACGTAAATTTTATTTTCATGATCAGATTGAAGTATCAACGTTAATGGAAACATTTCACAAAACGTGTGGCAAACCAATAGATTTGAATGCAGGTTCGATATGTCTTGCTATCACTAACGTGATCAGCTCATTGACGATGAGTGTTAGATTTGAACCCAATGACCCGCGATTCGAACGGTACATGCATATGGTAGACGAAGGTTTTAAACTGTTCGGTATGTTGCGACCTGTAAGTCTGTTTTTGCCGAGGCGTCATCTCACGGACGAGCGAAATATTCAGGAAAAAATCAAGAACAACCATCAAGAAATCGCTGGGTACTTTCAGAATATTATTGAAGAACATCGGAGTACGTTTGATCCAAACTGTATACGTGACCTGGTCGACGCTTATTTGTTAGAAATACAACAATCTCAAGATGCCGGTACAATGGACCAATTATTTCAAGGATTGAACCCAGACCGACAAATCCAACAAATCCTTGGAGATTTGTTCTCCGCGGGTATGGAGACAATTAAGAACACGATTTTATGGGCAATGGTGTACATGCTTCACAATCCGGACGTGATGACTAAGGTGCAAGACGAGATTGATTCAGTAGTGGGTCAATATAAATCACCAGTACTCGATGATTATCCTAATTTGCCTTACACACAGGCTACCTTATATGAAGTACTACGAAAATCAAGTATTACACCATTAGGCACAACACATGCAACTACTAGGTAATTTTTTTCTTGATTATCATCGCAATCGTTAATTAAAAATATACCACTTTGTGTTTTATTTGTAGTGATGTTACTCTCAACGGTTACCATATACCAAATGGTGCTCAAATCATACCATTACAACACTTCGTACACAATGATCCGAAATTATGGGATGAGCCAGAGGCATTTATACCTGAAAGATTTTTAAATGCAGAGGGTAAAGTGAAAAAACCTGATTGCTTTTTACCTTTCGGAGTTGGTAAGTTTTACACTTAAAATATATTATAAATTTATATTAAGTATTAGTAATTATAATAACAAAATTTTATTCTTTTTAAGGTCGAAGAAAATGCTTAGGGGAGACATTAGCTCAAATGGAATTATATTTATTTTTTTCAACATTGTTACACGAATTCGATGTATGTTTACCAGAAGGTGACGAACTGCCCAGTATGGATGGACAAGTCGGAATCACATTGACTCCACAATCATTCAAAGTTGTTATGAAAAAACGAAATAAGTAATTTAAAATTTGGCTTTTTTTTTAGATCTTCTTATTTGTTTTTATATTTATGATACATGAGTTAATTATGAAAATTTTACGATAGTGATTTTGAAACCTCAAAATTATCGTGCTTAAAAATTATTATTTATTTACCAATTTTCTTATCACATGAGGTTCTCTATAATTTATACAACTTTTTGAAAATTTAATTTAAGATCATACTATTTATTTATTAAGGAATTTAATTTAATTTATATTATTTTACTTATGAAAGCAACAATTTGATTTGTTCATTTTTAAGTTAAGTTGCATTACACAATGTAATTCATAAGTTTTCCTATTGATATATGTTATGTACATACTCCTAAGTGCCATATACCATTTTTTAAATTATTGAAATTATTATACTTTTATGATAAGTTGTAATTTTTTTTTTTTTTTTTACATTACCTTACTTTACCAATATATAAGAAACCTATCAATATAAAACGTTATAAATTTTTATGAATATCAATTTTAGTTACTTCAGGGGAACTATACTAGCAACTAATAAGACACAAATGACAATTTATTTATCTATAATGAGGTTTTATATAAAATCAGCTCCAAGATTTTATAATTTTTTAAACATTAACAAATTGAATATTATTTTTAAAGTTTTTTGCTAGGAATAACACAAGCCCCAAATCACACCAGTCTTTTTAATTATATATGTAAAATAAATTACTAGGGATTTTTTTCGAAAATTACATTTTATTTTAACTTCTTTAACTTTTATTTTAACCTACAACTGAAAAACAAAATACAACTACTCACATAAACAGATAGTAATATAAACTGAAACATTTTATAAAAACGATGAAAGGTAAGTCACAAGTTAAATTGTATAAAAGTGCATACGAACTAAGCTATCCAGTACATTTGCATTGAATTTAAATTTGATAACAATAATATTTTAAGGGTTTTAAAAAAAATGTAATCTAATTTATTACCAGACATAATTAATATCGTAGTAGTCATTTCAACATATCTTAATTATACTAGTTAGTTGTTTTATGAGTTTATTAGTTTAAAATATAAACTAAATATAAACTTATTTCAAATATAATCACCAAAAAATCAAATTTATAACTATAAAATATGAATATTATATTTGATCATACGAAATACTGAAATACTATGTTATTTTTGAAAATAGGTATATAATGATGAATAATATTTATTAAAATGTTTGTAAGATATCTAAAAAATACATCATTATTTTAAGGAAGTTTTAATTTTGTATGGTAGATATTTTTTGACTGTTATTTTCATAAATTTAATTCCATACAACTCAGTTTGTTTATGTTAAATTATAAAAAAAATCATATAATAATTTGGTATATTTTAATTACATTTATGACTTAAGTAATACAACTTAAGAAATATAATATAAGGTTAATAATCAGTAATCACATACTAAATGAAATTAGAAATTATTTATTAAAATATTAAGATTAACTAAAAATATACAACATATATGAGTACATGGATACATAAATTACATACGTATTTATAAATATATATTAACGTAAGTTATTATTATTATAAATATATAATATATGCTGGTACCTTTTATTTACTATAAGATAAATTTATATATTGAATTCAGTTCAACTTAAAAAAAAAACGTTTTTACTAGAATATAAATAATATGAAATATACATTGTTTCACTGTCACCTTGTTTATTAGGTGTTGAAAAACAATTTTCAATTTGCATATTATATATCCTGGTTATGACGATAAATTAATTTATAACATCTAAAATATTGGAAATATTATAAATTTATATATTCATAATAATTGCATAACATAGAACCTATAATAGTCAGCAAAAAATATTTTAGCTTATAAATTAAAAAAAAACCAGGCTACCAATAATATGGCAAATTTAGTTTATTATAAATAAATTACTGATTATAAAGTTATAACTTACTGAACATGTTTAATTTAAGTATCATACATAACTAGTTATTATATCAATTATTTGAATAACATCATAAAATGTTCTTATAATTATTGTATACACTGAGACACTTCTATAGTACAAATTAGCTAAGAACAAGAGCAATTTGTTGGATTAAAAAATAAAATAGTTATTGTAATACATATAAAAATATAAGTAAAAATAAAATTAATATAATAAAATTTAAACTTTACTTTAAGTACAAAAGTTGAACATAAGACGTCTTAAATTTTAACTTAATTGTACTTATTGCAAACACTGTTAATTTCATTAAGATTTAAATCTAAATTTTATTTAATATTATTCATATTTAAATTATATACAAAAATATTTTTAGACTCGAGATTTGAATATAATATTATGAGCCGCTGGACTGAGAGTTATGCCGAATTCTCCGTCCATAATAGTATTTAATTCTTTTTCAGACAAATTATCTTCCATAGAAATGTAAAAGTTATGAATTAAATTTGCACCAAATAAAAATAACATCCAGTATGATAGTGTATCTCCAACACAAGCCCTTTTACCTATAAATATTATACGATTACAGTAATTTTTAATAAATTAAAACAATCATGTACTAACCAGCTTGAAATGGCATAAATGCTTTATTGTTGATTATATTTCCATCTTCATCAAAAAACCTTTGTGGCTGAAACGCAAGAGGATTTACCCAATATTTTACATCTCGGTGCATTGCCCATTGCAATGGTAAAACCATAGTACCCTTTGGTATACGAAATCCTAAAATCCATATTTCATTGTTCACTGCCCGAGGTATTCCTGAAGGAGCGACTGGTCGTAATCTCATTGTTTCAAATACACAAGCTTTTAGTAATGGAACGCTTTCTATCTGTTCTAAATCTATTACTGCGCCATTCGTAGAAACTAAATCCAATTGTTTTTGTAATTCATTCTAAAAATATTATGATTAACCTGTTATTTTCATTATAATTTGTATTTACTTAATTCGATTATATTAATAACAATCATTATATTATATTGGCACCTAAACAATTATTACTCAAAAATTATAACATTATTAATGTGTACATAATTTTAATTAAATGTAAAACGATGGTCATTTTTATATTTAATATATCACAAAACTATAAATTGATGGAATTGCATTAAATGTTGAAATGTATAAGCACTAAGTTAATTTTGTGTAAAGTATTTTTTGTTAAGTACATTTATGAACTATGGTAGACAGAATCATAAAGTAGATATATCATAAATACCAATAAATAAATCGTAATAATAATAAAACGTAACCCCTAATTTAATATTACTTTTATTTACTTGTATATCTTTATTTAAAGCCATATAAAGTAAAAACCATCTCAAAGTGTTCACAGACGTTTCAACTCCAGCACCAAAAAGGTCAGACAATAAATAATTACATTGCTTTTCAGTGAAGTAATGAGGATCTTTATCATTTTTTCTCTTTGTAACTTCTTTCATGAACATTGCCATCAGATCATCACAATCATCAATTTTTCCGCTTCGTTTTTCCATTAGTGTTTTATATATAAAATGTGTATTTTTAACTCCCTCGATTACTTCAATAATAGTTTTTCTATATTTTGGTATTACCCTAGACAATTATGTACGTTAATTACATGTAATTACTAAGTATATATTATTTGCGAAATGAATTTCTAACTTTAAAATAGGTAAAACACTTAAAGGAGTAGCAACAGCGAATTTTTTAGATCCATCTTCAGCTAATTTTCGTAAGTATATCCAATTAAGATCATCCTCAGGCCATGTTTTGCCCAGCACGATATGATTAATAAAGTTTCCTATGTATACTAAAAAAAGTTTTCCCGTATCTATTGGAAATTCATTCGAATGTCGTATTTTCTAAATAAAAAAAAAAATAAAAACGTATAAAAATGCTCTTTTTATTTATTATAATAACTACCGAAATAGTTGAGGAAACAGCATCCATGATGTTTAGTTGCAAGTTGTTCTTTTTGTCTCCAAACTTGCATACACCGATTGTTTTGAGCCAATTGCAGACAAATTTTCGTTGTTCTTTCCATAATGCCCCGTGGGTAAATATTAAACCTTTATATAAAATCAATTATAATCTTATAGATGGCTATAATATTGAAGTACCTGTACCATGTTCTTGCATAATTTCATTAATTACTGTGAAATTAGTGCGATCTGCAAGTTCGTTTCTTGCTAAAGCCATTCTCACTGATGACGGGTCTGACATAATGACTGCAAAATGTTTTCCCATTTGAATACTATAAATTGGTCCATATTTATGAGCTAACTCCGTTAACGTTTTGTAAGGCTGCGTTGGATTTAACCATGGAAGATACCCTAAAATTGGAACACCCCAAGGACCTGGAGGTAAGTTTTTATTCAAGTGCCGTTGATAACCAAAATATATTGCAATTAGCATTAAAACACCAATAATGATCCAAAGCATGATGTTGGTTCCTTTAAAAAAATGAAAATAATTAAAAACTGTAGTCGGTATAACATATCCTTGTTGATATGCATAATATTGTTATAATATTGATTATACTGTATAGTTGGTAATTTATACACAATAACAATTTACATGTATTATAATAACCAAGAATAATAAATTATTTTATACAAAGTTAAGTGTTTGAATGATTACATAGTGTAACATTTTTAAATACGTATAAACTGTTACTGTACTAGTTAATTATACTTCCAAGATAATAGGTTACTATAAAATTTCATAAATAAATATGTATTAAATAAAGACTGCAATTTTACAACGCTATCATTAAGTTTAATTGTAAAATTTAAATTGAATTATAGAAACAAAAATAAGGGGTGTAAAAAGTATGTTTTAGGATGTTAAACTTTCATAATATTCATTAAAATGTTTCAATAGGTTAATCAAAATTGAATTAATTTAAATGTCATAAATATTCAATAATTAACCTAGGTTAGATGCTTAAAATATCAATTAAATTTAATACATAGGTGCAGACATGCTGTATTAAGTAAATAACCATTTATTTTAGTTAAATCATTATCGTAACTAAATTACATTAATTACATTTGCCTTGCGGTTTTTGTTACCAGTTTCATTCATTTGTAATTTATTAAGTATACCAATATAATTAAAACAGTAATATTTACATTCATAGACTTTCAAAAGTAAATAAAAAAAAACAAATATTAAATTAAAACTTACCTAAATGTAGAATATTTTTTTAAAAGCTAAAAATATAAGTACTATTTAAACATAAATTTTAACTACAAACCTTCCTGCTGACAATGACTATACGAACTGCACAAAATATGTTTAGGTATTTGAATTCTTTATTGAATAAACACCATCGTCCACCACCTATAAGTTTGATATAATAGGTTTACAAAAAATATCTTACATCAATAGAACTGTAAATACTTCATATTAAATGAGGGTTAAAGTGCTATTTAAATATTGCTATTTTGAAAATTGATTTTAAAGTTATCTATTAAAAAAGTTAAATATTTAAATGTCTATTATAAAACACATTTTAAGTTAAGTTATTTTTTAAATTTCATTTCAAATAATTTATCAGTTTAGCTCTTTTAATAAACAAAAAAAAAAATGTAAATTAATTCAGAAAATCTTACATACAAATCTGCTTAACTAAATCAAATTTATATAAAAGCATACAACATCACATTTATCATAAATCAGAATGAATAATACATAAGTAACATTCAGTTTATGATTTTTATGAAACAATGGAGTTTTGTCAAATAAAAATACTTCAATGTACAAATATAACAATGTTGCATTTAAAAATTATCGATTGCAATTTTTGATGTAAAAAAATATTTAAATATGTTTACTCATAAATTTTTTAATAGGCGAAATTGACAAATCTAACATTTTTTTATTCCAAGTAGTTAACCTCGAAATTCGAGAATAAGCCTAATCGTAATTATAAATTATTATGTTTTAATTATAATTTAATATTTATAGTATTATTGAAAAGTAAAGAATTGGTATTTTGCCAATATGCCTAATTTATAATTTATAACCTTGGTGGAATAAATGTTGATAGTTTAATGCGATTTAATAATTATAAACACAGACATGATCTTTGTGTCTGTAAAAAGTATACATGTATACTAAACCAATAACAACAATGTATTGATATATAACATACATCAATAATAATATATAAGTACTATATGATAAAGAATTATTTTGGTTGTTGGTAAATACGTAATTATAAGAAAAAATTATTTTCTTAGACATCAGACCATCCCTCCCGTCAGAGTTCTATGAACTTTTAATTCGATTTAAAATTTTTCAATGGGAATGGACATTATGGACAACAAAACCTTGAAAATACATTAATGAGTCGATAAGGTCGTCTGCGAGCAGTCTCGTCTACCATAAGCCAGATCCGGTTTTACTTTCATTGATGTAAACAAGTCCTCTATTATGTATGAAGGGTCTGCAATTCCAAGAAATCAGGTGCAAACACGTTTACATTCATTCGGGTGAACAGTCTGTAAGGAATTCGATATTGTTCCTACGACTTAAAATATGTGAAAAATGTTCACCCCCCAATGATCTTGGAATTTCAATGATTTCAAAGAACCATTATAATATATGTATGTCCATTATTACAATGTAACAATTGTTGTATATGTTTACAAAATAGTATACTTCGAATGGGCATGAGAAACGTATTATAAATTAATAATAATAATAATAATTGTCAATTATGTATAACTGATTACTATTAATGTTGCAGATTATAAATAACATATTTCCTGGGTTCAAAATTCAAATTGGTCATATGTTATTATGATCTCTTCCATAAGAATAAATCCAATACAATATATTATAACTTAAAATATATCTACTCAAGGGCTCTACACTTACTAAGAATTATATTGCATTTCTTGTGATCTGAGGGTACCTTTGGCCAGCATCACTATCAAAGATATTATTTTTAACTTTAAACAATTACTTACTTAAAATTCATAATGTGAAATTCAAAACTATAATGGTATTATTAGAATAACTATAATAGTTTGAACAGCTTAGTAAAAAAAATAATAAACGCTTATATATTTCGCTAAAATGAGTGAATAATATTCGAGTTTAATTCGAGAGTCTCTCTGCAGAATCTTTTATTTATACAATAATTCCCAGTCTGATGCCTGATATCTTTTTATTATTTATACTCTCCTATTACATATAAATATTTAACTTTAACGACTTAGTGAATTTAATTTTGTGGATTAATTTAAAATCAAGCATAGGTAAAACATAAAAATTTTAAGAGTAAAAAAAAGATTTGTTATCAGTCTAAAATTTTAAAACAAATCAATTAATTTAAATAATTGTTAATAATTATACAAGATCTTATTATTGATATTATCTAAATGTGCATTGGAAATTTAGCTACTATTGTAAATAAATTGTATTGAACAATAATTTTTTGCAAACTCATCAAATGATTTAATTATTAAAAAATTTTCCTTGGTCAATGACAAATAATATATTTACTCAGTATATAAATTAAATTGTCCTTGTAACTTATCTAATGCGTAAAATATTCTATAGGCTCAAAAGTAAAAGAATTTTTATTATTATTGCTATACAAGTAGTATTTATTTATAGTAATTAAAAATAACAACCAGATTGTCAATATCAATGTACAAAATGATAACGGAGCATTATTTGTTATACAATAGGTTATAATATGATACGAATGAAATAAAAAAAATGCTGGTTTAAAAATGAATTGAATCTCACATGTAAGTTAGTAATAACACCATCTATCACCAAAAAATGAAAAATATATACACAGATATTCTTAATTTAATTATTTAAATAATAAACACTGACAGCAATACTATTTGTGCATATATTTATAATTTAATATTAATTTTATTTTTATATAGATTTGTACAAATTATAGACTTTAAAGTAAGAAAATATGTAAGCACAAATTATTGAGTATATTTTGTTCATATTTGTATTAAATAATTTTTTTGAGCGAAACGATCAATGTATTTTGATAACATACCTACTCGTATTATATCAAAATACATTGATGGCTTCACTCAAAAAAGTTTAAATTAAATCAGTAAAATTAAAGGCTAACTAATATTAATTTTATAAACATTATTAAGATTTTCAATGTAAGCTACATGATAAGGATATTGCCATTCTCAATTGATTAATGTATTTTTATCCTATACTTAAAGAACAAAAAGGAAATCCTTGAAAATAGTTTTTATACATGAAACGTTACCAAATATAATATTACAATAACAAATCATTTCTTTATAATATTTTGCTACATAAAAATATATTAATTTCATGTTCAATACATTTTATCAAAACTCTATATATATAAGCTTCAATAAAAATGTCGATTTTCATCTAATGTTGGATGATTAGAAACTATAAGTTTAAAATAATGTTTTTCTATAAATATTAAGTATACATTTTTGTTTTAATTTTAACTGCAGCCAAGTTTTTAATTAATATAAAAAATACAATAAATTATTTCTTAATTAAACTAAATATCAAACGCAGCTAAAATAATTTATTATAAATACGCATAAAAGAATTAACCAAGAAATTGTCTAAATAGTATAGTCGGGCGTCGTTCATAACCACATACATTCAAAAATAAGTCATCGGTCAAAACCGCACACTTTTATATCTTAATCCCGCAAATTAAATCGTTCAATACCGCACAAATTTATTTATATATATATCAATTACGTATACATTTATCTAAAATAACATGAGTGCACCTCAAGACCGAACGGAATCGCTCGCTCGAACAGAGAAAATATCCCCCGATTTGCTATGTAACATCACCCCAAGTAGGTCCCAAGATAAAAAAAAAGATTTTGTGTTGGACTCATACAAAACTGGCAACGTGAACTGTACATGTAAAGTTTGCAGAGAGAAAGGAACTGTTAACCAAATGTGTGCGGTTTTGAACTACCGACCTTTAAAATTTCCCTTTTTAACAATATAATAAATATGTGGGGTATTGAATGATGAAAAATGTGCGGTTATGAACGGTAAGTGTGCGGTTTTAATGACCGCCGGTATATTGAATGCAACATTGTTTGTTTACGTAACTATTGTTAGCAATTAAATATCCCGTCCCAATATATCAAGTGCATTTTCCTGAATAATAAATCAATAAAATAATATTGTATAGTGATACTTGTTTTATTATTTTAATTTTAAAATACATAAATTAATTAAATTTCTGATCGGCAATAATTTTAAAATTATTCATTTACAACAGAATCAATAATTAAAGTCCAAAATTTTAATATAGGCCAAAACTCGTGAATAATAAATATTGTTTTAAAATTAGCTATAGCTTATTGACATTATCGTAAAAACAATGTATAGATATAATTAATAAAGTACTTATTAATTTAAATACAATTTCCAAAAAACTACAAATACCTACATTGCTTTATTATAGTTATTATACAATATTATCATCTTTACTTATAATTTTACATTTTTTACTGAACCAAATATTTTTTATAATAGTTTTTGATAGTTTTTATTTTATCTATTGCAAAAATTCATATGATAATTGATAACATTATCATGGACCAGGTACATTATAGATTTCAAAATATACAAACAAATTTATAAAACGTCAGTTATTATGATAAACATCACTTATAACCTTGTCTATAAATTTATGCTATAGAGTTCAATCATCATTTATGCAAATGGAAATTGTCAAGGTCAGTGGTTCAAGTTCGGTCATTTCTTTACGATATTTACACGAGCATTAATTGTAGTATTTTATAATGGTATATGTGTATAGTGGATTTATTTTTTTTTTTTATTTAAAATACATGCAAATAAGAACCCAAATATTTTAAAAAGTTGCTAAGATATTGATTCAAAAATTGATTCCCTTGAGTGTCTTTTTGTTTTCGTATTTGTAAAAACCGTGTACACAACATAAACGATCCACCTAATTATACTATGACATATACTCGAATTTTAGTAAGTATAGTTCTTTAAAGTGGTAATTTCTCATGTTTATATATACATACATATAAAGAACAAAACTATACAACAGTGTACAGTAATAATCATAATCATTGAGAGTTTTTAAAATAGTAAGGCCAATTAGTTTTTTTAAATTTTTTAATTTTCACTACCTATATTCGTCATATGTTTGGAAAGTAGCATAATTAAACCGATGCATTCGAATAAAGTTCATAAATTATATTTTGTCCTAGTGGCGTCCATAGTTTTCTTATGAAACATCCGAATTGTGTCCGTAGTTTTAGAATATCAATAATACAAATAATATAAGCAAAATAGATCGT